CTCCACCCCGGCCCCCAATCAAGCATTTACAGTCCAGCATAAAGAAGAGTTAGATAACACTCGCAACTAACAGTGCAACATTTCGCTTAATTTTCTCTACGTCAAATTTCTTCCCCTTATTGGATGTCATGTTGGCATTCAGGCCATCTCGGAACATCTGCCGAATAATCTGCCGCAAATCGTGCCAGCAGCTCTGCAATAATTCCACCTCATTCTTTCGTTCCTCATCCAGAAGCCTGAAACAGCTCGATTATTCCACTACTAAAAAACGCAGCTATCCACTCGTTTGCTGCAACTATTGGTAATAACTGCACTGAACTGAGTGCGCGTTCTTCTCAGAACTAAAGAAGCCAGGCAAGAATATATGAATGTCTGCAAACAACAGTAGCTAATAGTCCACTGTTTTTAACCATTTTTGGAATTCAACTACTCATAAAAAGGCCAACGACACACATACACACACTACACATACACACACTACACATACACACACTACACATACACACACTACACATACACACACACTACACACACACATACACACACACACATACACACATCACATACACAAGTGGGGAGAGAGGATTAAAAGACGGAAGCACAAAAAATGCTTACTCCCGTCGCATGCAGTTTTGACATTTACAATCACTGTTGCTGGCATTGCTACATCCAATTGGCATAGGCCGTAGAATATCCTGGTTGCTCTGGAAATGCACTTGAAATTGCTAAGAGGAAGTCTCAGGGAAGTTTGCAATAGAGGCCGCTTTCAGATGAAGAGATGCTTACCAGCAACACGGCCTCCAGCTCATCCAGGTAGCTCTTCTCGCTTTCCATACAATCATTGCAGATGTAGTAGGCCTAAAACAACCACAAACTTCATGCACTCCGAGCACCAGCCCTGCCCCTCCCCTCATTGCGAACCACTGCAGCAAGGCCTCGACGGCAGTCAAGTTTAAGCAGTACAAAATAAGCCTTGACAATTCTTTCATTTCCTTGCCGGGCAGCAGCAGCACATGAGCACTGCCCACGCCGC